CCCAACAATGAAACATCTCTTATGAGCAAGCACTTGGCGACCGTGGGAAGAAAAACTCTTCTAACAGGAAGAAACCTCTAGTATAACCAGGCTCAGTGAGAACTAGCCATCTGCCACTGAAATATGTTGTATGTTAATGTAGCTCTCTTATCCACTTCTGTTGAATTCAACCATATTTGTTTTACTACAGAAGAGTTGGAGGACAGTGTTGTGCTCCCATCATCAGCAGACCACCAGAATGAGCCACAAGAGCACATCTCCCAGGCAGCCAGAGACCTCACTCCTGCTCTCTTGTCTGCTGATTCAAGCGTCCCACCAGCTGGACTCTCCCACCTGCTCACAGAGTGTGCAGAGCCGCAGAGCTCTCTCATTGAGTCTAGTGATAACCAAAGTCCAACTATAGGTGCGTTGTCTTTTTCTCTTGAGCCTTCTGTGCCCGCTGAAGACCTTCCCCGCTCATCTCCTGTCGATCTCATCCCATCTCTGGTCACCGAGGAGTCCACCGCAGACAGGTCTCCACCTCAGGCCATCGAGGACACTCTTGGGTCAGTGGATGAGATCGCAGAGCCTCTGCATGTGGCTTCTGCTCACCACTGTGACCATGAGCACGATGATGAGTAGGAACCCAAGAAGTCGCATTTTGAGTAGACTTAAGTCAGGCCAGACAAATGCAAAGTGTCGATGACAATCGTTTTGTTTTGTTTTTAAAGAAATGATTTTAGGATAGATCATCAGAGGGAAGACTTTATCTTGTCAGTCTGTCTTGTTTGCATGTAAGACTGCGTCAGCAGATTGGTGACACTACATAAACCAGCTACAGCATTAATGCAGAAGATGGGTGAGGAAAAGGCACTGTAGTAATCTTCTGTGTGTTTTGTATGTGAGAATTTAGTTACTGCTTAGTTGTAAGCCAGAACAGTTTTTAAAGGTCAAACTTTTTCCTTTCGAGTGCAAATTTGGATCATACGGGTAATGAGACTGCTTCTGGTAGGCCGATGTGACTAAACTTGAATTTTTCCAAAGACAGACATTGCAAAGCACAGCTGCACCTTTATATCAAGGACAATTATCAATATTTTTTTGAAGTTACTAGACGGTTGGCCACTCAGATTAGTCGCCATAGTCTTTGGCGGTGGTGCAGTGTTACCTTTAATGTTTTGAAGCAACGTCGTTTAAACTCTTACCCAAAGAAACACTTTTAATTATAAGACATGGGACATTTTACTTTATATCCTCCAGATTGGTCACACTACATAAAGGGCTTTCACTGTGGGACGATGCTGAATAGAAACAGTCAGCACAGGTTTTACTTTTGTTTTTAACACTAATATTTAATTAGATTTTGTTCAGTGATGTACTTTGTAATAAGTCTAAAATGGATGTTTACTGCTGTATAGCCAGATTTATGCCCCCTTTTAATTTCCATGACCTATGCAACACTAGATTATACCCACATTTCATTTCATAGACAATACATTGCTAATGTAAAGTAAGCATTTGATTAAATGTAAGACTGCCAAGTTAGTAATACTTGAGTAATTGATTT